AGGCGGGACTCTCGGGGACACTCGGGGGACCTGGGGATCTGGTGGCCGCGGTATGCAAAGTGGCGCGAGGCGGGACACTCGGGGAGATTCGGGGGACTCGCGGCCGCGGTATGCAGAGTAGGCGAGTCGGCGCGAGGCGGGACGCTCGGGGACACTCGGGGGGCCTGGGGATCTGGCGGCCGCGGTATGCAGGGTGGGCGTCGGCGCGAGGCGGGACACTCGGGGACACTCGGGAGACCTTGGGATTTGGCGGCTGCGGTATTCAGAGTGGCGCGAGGCGGGACACTCGGGGAGATTCGGGGGACCTGGAGATTTGGTGGCCGCGGTATGAAGGGTGGACGGGTCGGGAGGTCTGTTCATGAAACGACCCCAAGCTGTTGGGGAAGTGGACGTTGCAAAACCATTGTTCGTTTCACATATGTTCGGAAACCTCGATCTTGACACCTCTACGAACCATAGGGTTTTGGACTGATTTCGGCTTGCGCTCGCGACGACGTGCGCGTGTGGACCTTGTCACGTATTGTTTTCGCAGCGTGTTCTTGAACATAGATGGTTGTTCACAAGCGAGTGTGCGCGGATAGGTTTTATAGTGAAGGCCTCACGGCCGGTGCCGCCGACCCTGAAGGCGGGGCCTCCCCTGGGACCCCCGTTGGCGCCCCCTCCCGGGACCTGCCTGGACCCGGGGAGGGCGGTGTTCTGACCCAGGGCCATCCTCCCCCACCACAGGCGGGATTTCCCCTGCGACCCCCGACGCCAGGACCCCCCCTCCCACAGGGGGGGACCTCTCCCCTGTTCTCCCTGGCGACAGGGAGGGGAGGGGTGGCCGCCGAGACCCCGGGGGGGGGCGGTAATCCGACCCGGGGCCCCAGACCGTACCCCCTCCCCGACCCTCCCCCGCCCCGTGCCCCTCCCGTTCCTTGAGACTGGCGGCGGCGACGATGACGACGACGACGAAGACGACAACAGCGTCTCGCACACGCCGCGAAGGGCCGGCGGATGCGTCAGGGATAAAGGGGGGACGATGCCGGCCTGCTTGGGATGGTACGAGTTAATTACTCAGATGGTCGGTGGGGCATCGCCATTTGTAGATTGCAGCACCCCAAGGGGAAACGCGAATGCAGGGTAGGGGGGGTAGATTCGAATCGCCTTACAAATTTGAGATCGGAGAATCTGGGCGGCGACGGGGCGGCGACTGCTACCACGGAGCCGCCAAACCGCCACGCAGGCCCAGACGACGGGCGGCGACGAGGCGGCGACGGAGTGGCGAAAGCGACTGCGTATCCGCCAGATCGGCCCGCAGGCTCAGGCGACGGGCGGCGACGAGGCGGCGACGGGGCGGCGACGGCGACTAGCTACGTAGCCGCCAGACCGGCCTGGATGTGTGTTCGCGCGCGCGCGCGCGCGCGTGTGTGTGTGTGCGTGCGTGCGTGCGTGCGTGCGTGCGTGCGTGCGTGCGTGCGTGCGTGCGTGCGTGCGTGCGTGTGTGTGTGTGTGGGTGTGTGGGTGTGTGGGTGTGTGCGTGTGTGTGTGTGTGTGTGTGTGTGTGAGTGTGCGTTTGTGTTTGCGTGTGTGCACACGCGTGTGTGTGTGTGGAACGAATTCATGGAGGGGTGCCTCCACGCACTGATATAGATGTGATGTGTCTCATCATCCAGGTATAGATCTGCAGATGGCTCTGACAGCATCGGTCCTGCAGAAGTCCGGGTCGCCAGGTCAACGGAGCTGGCGCCGCGGCCGCGTGGGAGGCGGGCCGCGCGTGCGCGCCGCGCGTCGTGACCCCCCTGGCTGTCGAGGCGGTCGCCAGAGGTCGGGCGCTCTGACCCAGAGGAGCAAATCTGTCGTATACAGGAGCGAAAGAAGGACGTACACGTACATGAGTCCACGCTGGTTTCGAGAGTACGCATTGCGCAAATGTTCGCATAACGCGGCCGGTCTCGCAGATCGAGGGGCTGTGTTCATTTACATAGTTGGGCTCGTACGTCCTTTGTCGGCTCCCTACTTATAATTGTTGAAAAAGGCGCTTCGTTTGTTTGATGGGTCAGTTGTTTACGACGCCACCGCCGAAAAAAGTCATGCGGGAAGTCGATTTTCGCTGGCGAGCGATTCTTGGGCCAGCCCGCTGTGTTGAATCTCGATGGCGCGCCGAGGGCACTGAGTGGTTCAGCAGCGCCGCCTTCGCCAAAATACAGGTCACCAATCTCAGCAGTTCGCATCCAGGGCACTCTGAGGCGGCACCGTCGCCGAATATCAGCTCGCGCAATACAGACTTTGGCAGTGCGTTCCAAGATTCTCATGAGTCTCCAGATGTGCCAGGGCTCCGCTTCCTTCTTGCGGGCTCAAGAAAAGACAAATAGCACAAGCATCATTTCTCGGAGGTCCGCACGCACCTCTTGCATCGGCGCTGGGCCCCGGGGACGGCGCTTCCGGCGCCGTCCCCAGCGAGCCGATCCAAGACATCCGCGCGGACCTCCGATACAGTATGTGTAGGCTTAAAGTCGGGCGTGTCCCTCTACAGGGGGGATATTCAAAATAGTTAAAAATAGTCTGGGGGACTATTTTTTGAATTTTTTTGACCATTTTGGAATATATATATATATAATATTTGAGTATTTTTTATATTTCGTCGAAAATACCCCTGTAGGGGGACAGGCCCGACTTAAGTGTAGGCCGTTTGCTTGTTGCTGAAACGAGGGCCGCTAGATACCCCAGAGCTCGCGCCCTGAGCCCATCGCATCATGCCTTCCTTCCCGTCCTGCTGACGGCGCGCGCGCTGGTGCCTCGTTGCGGGCTCGGCCTTCTCTTGTGCGGTCGAGTCCGAGGCTCCGAGGCTCCGAGGTCCTCCTCGCACTGAGGAGGTCACGGCGGGCGGCTGCTGCCATTTTCGGCGCCCTCGCGGGCCCCGGGGCCGTCTATTAGTTGTTCAGGACGGGATGGGTCGAGGCGAGACCTCCAGGGGCACGCGCCGTGAAAACATCACGATGTCGGGGTCTGGGTTCCGATGTCCTCGGTCCGCTTTCTCCTCCCCCTGCCTCCTCCTCACATCCGCCGCCTTCCCATCCTCATCCCTCCCCCCCTCCGATAGCTCCTTCCTCCTCCCGCCTCCTCTCCCGTTTGCTTTTTGCCGTGGTGGTTTCAGGGTGCAGAAGCAGCAGTCGTGCAGAGACTGGTCTCGCCAGCGGGGGCTTTCCGCCGACCGCTTCGGCCGCAGACGGCAGGAGTGCGTCGGCGATCTGCGTGAAGTCGCCGACTGCATCGTCCGAGGACCCCCAGTCAGGGATGTGCGAGCGGTCTTCTCGTCGGCTGACGCTGCCCACTGCCGCGACTGGCGTTCAATTCGTCTCTCCGATGTACCCCGTGCCTCAACCTTCTTGTCCTCCTCGCTCCCTTCTGCTCCAGACCTCTCCTGCCCCATCCGCGCCGTCTCCTCCTCCAGGCCTCCTCCTCGTGCTCCTCATTCGTGCCTCCTGGTCCTCCCCCTCCTAATCCTCCTCCCTTGTGCGTCCTCTTCCTCCTCATCCTCCTGATCGCCCAGCGGAACCAGGCCTCCGTCCTCAGCGTTTCTCCTCCACCCCTCCTCCAGGCCCTCCTCCTCCACCTCCTCCTAATATTCCTCCTCCTCCTCCCCTCCTCCTCCTCCTCCTCCTCCTCCTCCTCCTCCTCCTCTCCTCCTCTCCTCCTCTCCTCCTCCTCCTCCTCCCCTCTCCTCCTCCTCCTCCTCCTCCTCTCCTCCTCCTCCTCTCCTCCTCCTCCTCCTCCTCCTCCTCCTCCTCCTCCTCCTCTCTTCGCATTGCTTCCCCCTCTTGGAGACGGCTGGGGGCAGGAGGACACTTCGCTCCCCATTCAGGTGTCGCCCCTTTGGCGCCCCTGTGTGGGCGTCGCCCCCGTCGCCCCACCCCGACCATCCTGCAAGAGAGGCACAGGCACCAGTGGGCGCCACGTGCATCGCGAGCTACGATCTCCTTGTTTGCTGTGCCAGGCTTGTTGCGGCTTCCGGCCATGCGGCGCCACGCAACACAGTCTCAGGCCCCCGGAGACCAGGACACATATACACCAGGACACGGAAAACCAAGGAAACGAAACTCTTCCGTGCAAAGTCACATTGCCCAGCACCCGTGCTTGTTTTGTTTGTTGCACTGCAGGATTCGGGTTCGTGTCCGGGTTTAGGGGGGTCCTGCAGGTTTTTAGGGTTTGTGCGTACTTCCGCCCCGCATAGCATTGTGTAAGATGCGATCGGTGGCGTGACGGCGACACGCCGTTCATTCAAGAGATGTTCCTCCTGCGGCAAGTTGCACGAAACACCTTGGAGGTTCATGCTGCCTCGACGCGGCGGCGACGCCACCAACGCGGGCGTTCGACGTTTAACGCGCTTTCACAGGGTGTCCATTTGTGGACCATGACACGGCGCGGCCTCCACGCGCAAGATGGAGCACTTGGCTTCTGGGGACCTCCGAGAACCGAGAGCGCTTCAGGTGCACGGGGCAGGAGCCTGTCGTGCCTTCCCGCGTCCCTCCTCCTCCTCCCCGTAGCCATGTTGGCCCTTTCGGACTAGATCACTGCCGCCCCTCCCCTCCCCCTCCCCTCTCCCCTGGCGGGCCAGCTTCTCATCCTCTGTCATGGGCGGGCAGCACATCCACATATCCGCGGCCTCGCGGGGCCGGGCCCTCGGGCCGTGACCCTGTGGACACGGAGCGCCTGCTCGCGGATGCCCCGCGCGGAACATATCCATGCTGATGGGCCTGCTTTCCACCGCCACCACCACCACCATAAGTTGGAGGGGGAAGGGGTCCTCCTCCTCCTCCTCCTCCTCCTCCTCCTCCTCCTCCTCCTCCTCCTTCCCCCCTCCAACTTATGGTGGTGGTGGTGGTGGAAAACAGGCCCATCACACGCGACCTCGGATCCACGGCGATCGCGCCTTGGAGTCCAGACCGCGAGGGCGTGGATGGGGGGATGCGTTGGCCGCTCGTGGGCATTCCTTCCCCCTCGTCCTCGTCCCTGCCCTCCTTCGACGGCATGAGCTCACGATCCGAGCTCGAAGACTTCATCCGGAGATGCAGGCTCGACCACGATGCCACCGACGCGCTGCGGTCCGCGGGCCCCGACGTCCAGCTCGCGGTCCTGCGGCAGGACGACCAGGGTGGTCGGCCGCTGTGCGAGACCCGCCACCAGAGCCGGGTGCTGATGGCTCGGCTGGCCGCGGCCAGGGAGGAGCTGAGAGCAGGCTGGCCGGAGGAAGGAGGCCCAGACACCCTCTCGTTTTGCAGCAGGCACGACGAGCCTGTTTCATTCATGCACGGCCTCGACGGGGCCCTCCGTGGGCCCCAGGGCGGTGAGGAAACGGTTCGGGGCGAGGAGCCAGTTCAGGAGAAGGGGGCCAGGGCAGCTTCGAGTGCCTGGGTACTCGCGAGCACCACCACCAGGGTCACCAGGGTCACCAGGGTGCCACCTCTGGCGAGGAGGTCCGCGATGCCCCCCCGAGTCAGAAGTGTGAGGTGTCTCGGGCGAGACGCCGCACGACAGGGGACCACACCACAAGGAGGACCCTCCCCGGCTTCCCGCGATGGTGGTGGTGGTGGTGCCGCCCCTCCAAGACATGATCTTTGCAGTACGAGGTCGTGGAAGCGGATGCTGATGGGTAAATTAAATTAGACTAGTAGATTACAGTGGGCCTAAGTCGTTCACGGGGTTAGCGATCCAGGTTAAGTTGGCTCCGCCCAGTTAGCGGAGATACCTGGCCCCCCTAAACTACTTCGGGCACCTGCCACCCACTTGTACGTTAGGTTTGGCCAGGTATAACCCTTACTAGCCGCTTCCGAGACCCCCCCATCCCCTGAGCAACCGCCGCGGGCGTCTCAGTCTTGACGGCCCCGGAGCCCGAAACCGGCCCCACGAGCCAGAGCGCCACGCTTGCAAAAGCAAGCTCGCCTCCCTCGATCTTCTCGAGACGCTGGACGGATATCGGCCCTCTGCTCCCGCAGGCTCAGGCCGGCCGGCGGAGAGGCGGACCCGGAGCCCGGTGGGATTCCGCTCCCAGTGGGAGCAGCGCACGCGCAGCCCGGTCGGGTGCCGCCCGGCCGCGCCGCGCGGCCGCAGCACGAGCCGGAGCAGGGGGGGCAGCCGCCCGGACGAGCAGAGGCGTGGGCGCAGGGCCTAAAGCATGCAAAGACCACCCAGGTGAGCGGAGGAGGAGGAAGAGGAGGAGGAGGAGGAGGAGGAGAAGGAGGAGGAGGAGGAGGATGAGGAGGAGGAGGAGCAGGAGGAGCAGGAGGCGTGGGCGCGGGCCTAAGCATGCAAAGACCACCCCGGGTGAGCGAGGCAGAGAAACGGGTTCGACTGTGCTGACGTTCGCGCGCGGGTTGCCCGCGCAGGGTCGCGCGTGAGCGCCTTCAGTTTCCAGTGCAGAGAGCCGCGCTCACTGCCCGCGTGAGCCACCGCGCAAGGTCGCGAACCTCTAGAAGTCTGTAGTTTTGACCCCCCCCATTGGATCTCTCGACGGTGAATAAACTGGCCCTCCCTCCTGCCTCTCCTCCTCCTCCTCCTCCTCCTCCTCCTCCTCCTCCTCCTCTTGCTCCTCCTCTCGCTAGGGTGAAGAAGTTTTCTTGCAAGCACTGGCGAGGCAGAACTTAATGACACCCCCAGTACCCTTGCTGAGAGGAGGAAGAGGAGAGGAGGAGGAGGAGGAGGAGAGGAGGAGGAGGAGGAAGGAGGAGGAGGAGGAGGCAGGAGGAGCAGGAGAAGAAGAAGAGGATGAGGGAGGGAGGGAGGGGGGAGGAAAAGAGGGAGGGAGGGAGGGGGGAGGGAGGGAGGGAGGGAGGAGGAGGAGGAGGGGAGGAGGAGGAGGAGGAGGAGGAGGAGGAGGACGAGGCGGAGGAGGAGGAGAGGAGGAGGAGGAGGAGGAGATGGAAGAGGAGGAGGAGGAGAGGAGGAGGAGGAGGAGGAGGAAGAGGAGAAGGAAAAGGAGGAGGAGGAGGAGGTGGAGGTGGAGGAGGAAGAGGAGCAAGGGGCAGGAGGAGGAGGAGGAGGAGGAGGAGGAGGAGGATGAGGAATTAGTTTCCCACTAATGTGCGCCGTGCCGAAGGATGGTGGACGGTTATTTCTCCCATTTGGGCTGCCCTCCACGCGAAAGGAATTGCGAAATTGTTCGTAGGAAGGCTTGCAATACGAATCGATGCGTCGGAGGAGGAGGGGAAGGGGCAAGTGGAGGAGAAGGAACAGGTGGAGGAGTAGGAAGAGGGGGGGGGAGGAGGAAGAGGAGGAGGAGAAGGAGGAGGAGGAGTAACTAAGGAGGAAGAGGAGGGGGGGGAGGAGGAGGAGGAGGGGGGAGGAGGAGGAGGAGGAGGAGGAGGAGGAGGTGGAGGAGGAGGAGGAGGAGGCGGAGGAGGAGGAGGAGAAGGAGGAATTCGTTTCACACTCATGTGCGCCGTGCTGAATAATGGTTAACGGTTATTTCTCCCATCGGTCAATGTCTCTTGGGCTCTTCTCTACGCGAAAGGAATTGCGAGCTTGTTCGTAGGATGGTTTACAATCAGAACCGATGCATCGGACGAGGAGGGGAAGAAGGAGAAGGACGAGAAGGAAAAGGTAGAGAAGTAGTAGGAGGAGGAAGAGAAGGAGGAGGAGGAACCAAGAGGAGGAGGAGAAGAAGGATGATGATGAGGAGGAGGGGGAGGAGGGGGGGGAAGTGGGGGAGGAGAAGGAGGAAGGGGAGGAGGAGGAGGAGGAATCAGTTTCCTACTAATGCGCGCCGTGCTGAATAATGGTGGACGGTTATTTCTCCCATCGGGCACTGCCTCCCAGGTTGCCGTCCAGGCGATCCACGCGAAAAGAATGTCAAGCTCGTTCGTAGGGCGGTTTGCAATACTACTCGGCAAATCGGAGGAGGAGGGGGAGGAGAAGGGTGAGAATGAGGAGGAGGAGGAGGCGAAGGAAGAGGACGAGGAGCACAGCTCCTTTGCATGTACTTCGTGACAATGCTGTGAGCCCGTGAGCGTTCAGAGTGAGTGTTTCAAAGCAATGAACCCTTGCGAAAGTTCTCGAGTAATGAGTTTCAAAGCAAGGAGTTTCAGAACAATGAGTTTCAGATCAATGAGTTTCAAAGCAATTCGCTTCAAAGCAGTGAGAGTTTTGGAGCTGTGAGAGTTTGAGATCAATGAGTTTCAGAGCTCAGATTTTCAGAACGTCGGGCGAACGTTTCAGAGCAATGGTCCTTTGAGAAGAAGAGCCTTTCAGGGGAGAAGCCCTGAGGAGGACGCAGAGATCCCGAGAGACCCCCCTCCCTCCGTCCCTCCTCCCCCCTCCTCCCTCCTCCTCCTCCTCCTTCTCCTCTTTCTCCTCCTCCTCCTCCTCCTCCTCCTCCTCCTCCTCCTCCTCCTCCCCCTTAACTTCTTCCTCGTCGTCGTCGGCTTTGTCGTCAGCGGCGGCGGCGGGAAACGAACAATTAGTTTGTCGTTGCTGTCGGGGCCCCGGTCCGTCAATACCGGTCGCCAGAGAAATGTATGTAGTGTCCCACCGTCGCGAGTGGGCTTTCGCGAGAGAGGCCGTTACCTTTTTCCCTCGGTCAGAGCAGCTGGGGTCGGAGGGTCGCGCCCCATCGCCGATGCATTGCCGATGCGGCTCGGTGTGGATCCCGCTGTTTCTCCACGCCGCCGTCGGCGATGCACCGCCGCCGCCGAGGCACAGCCAAGAAAGCAACAAATGCGTCGCCGATGCTTCAGGCGAGCCTGCGCAGGCCTCCGACCCCACACACACTCGGACCCACGCGGGGAGGCCGCTGGAGACCCGCGCCTTCGCAAAAAAACAGCACGCCTCCTCGTCCTCCTCCTCCTCCTCCTCCTCCTCCTCCTCCTCCTCTTCCTCCTCCTCCTCCTCCTCCTCCTCCTCCTCCTCCTCCTCCTCCTCCTGGAGACCCACGCCTTCGCAACAAAACAGCACGGCGGAGCGCTCCTCGCGGGGCTTGGTGTCATGCATCCCTGGAGATCTTGGCGTCAAAGGCTTTCCCGCAGCGGGGCGATGTTACCTGGGCCCGGGGCCCCTGGGATCCTCTCGGGCCGACCCGGCTCGAAAGATGCTGCAGGAAGATCGGGTACGGGGCTCCGATTGAGCTTTTGCTCATCGGTGTTGCACCTCTTTCGTTGCGTCGGATCTCAGGGGGCGGAGCTTGTGCGCGCAAAGTTCGGCCTCGAGGGGCCGTTGCACGGGGCCTTGGGCCGTCAACGAGCGACTCGGGACGAGAAGCGGACCGTGGGGAAAGGCGCTGGACTTCGGAGGCGCTGGACTTCGGAGGGCCTCCTCATCCTCCTCCTCCCCCTCCTGCTCCTCCTCCTCCTCCTCCTCCTTCTCCTCCTCCTCCTCCTCCTCCTCCTCCTCCTCCTCCTCCTCCTCTTGCTCCTCCTCTCGCCAATCAAGACAACGGACCCAGACAGTCAAGACACGGCCTCCCGACCTCTCGACCGTGTTCCCTGGGACCGGCTTTTCATCCCGAGTTGTGTTTTGATCATCCCGAGGCCCTGGAAGGGCCCCGAGAGACCGACCATTATGAAGAACCTCCGCCCTGATTTTCCGGAACGCCAGATGTGAGGGGATGTTTGGATGGAAGCCCAGACCCTTCGCGGCGTGGAAAAAGGTCGACGGGAGGTGTTCGGCCACTTTCGAACTTTGTGGGGGGCCGTGCCGAGCCCCGGCACTTCCAAATGACGGCCCAGGAGGACAAGCAATAAACCCGTTCAGGGGGGCCGCGATGCGAGAACGAGTGCGACGTCGGAAGTCTGGGACGGGGGCCCGATCGAAACGGGTTGTGGACCTCAGGGCTTCCCTCCCAGACAAGCCAGCCTGTAATGTCACGGAGGCGTTCCTGGACCGCCCAGGAGCCTGGGGGGAGAACCCCACTAGCCAGACAAACGGCGAAGAACCGCCAGGATTGTCATTCCCTTTCTAAAAGCCGATGTTTCGATTTGTTCAGGTCGGGGCCCCCGGAGGTCTCCAAAAGTGTACATTTGTTTACCGTTTCTAAGGTGTTGTTCGTGTTCCCCATGTCCTAAGACCTAAGACAGCGTTCTTGTCAGAAGTGTGACGCCTCCGCCTCCCAACAGTGCCGCCTTCTTCCTGTCACGATCTGAAGACCCATTCGTTTTCATTTGATTCATGCACAGACCAACACACACACACACACACACACACACACACTCAAAACCATTGACACCCAGACCCACTGATACACGCATGCACTTCTACTCAGATTCGCCCATACTCAAACCAGTCACACTCAGATCGGTTCTGATTTAGCTTCATCAAACTCAACCTTGTACACGCAATCCACTCACACGCTGATCAGTCATACTCAAACTCACTAAAATTCAGACTCACCCACATCGATATACACATGTGTATATATTTGCTTGCCCCCCCCCCCCCCCAGCACCCCCAAACGACGGACTGGGGAGGGGGGGGGTGCATCCTCCTCATCTTCGTCGTCCTTCTCATCGTCCTCCTCTCCTCATCCTGATCTCCTTATCTCCTTATCTTATCTCCTCCTCCTCGTCCTGCTCCTCACCCTCTGCTTCTCTCGTAGGGTGCACGTCCCCTGGAAGAGCTCCAAGCGCGACGGCGCTCTCCTTGAGGGAGTTCAGCGTTGCTGGGCGACCTAGAATCAGTGAGAATCAACCGCGCCTTCTGCGGTGCAAGGGGCATCCGTTTTTTGGATGCCCCCGTGGAAACCCATGAGGGCACCCAGCAGGGGACCCAGCAGGGGACCCAGCAGGGGACCCAGGAGGGGACCCAGGAGGGGACCCAGGAGGGGACCACGCAGGGGACCCAGGAGGGGACGTCCTCCTCTCCTCATCCTGATCTCCTTATCTCCTTATCTTATCTCCTCCTCCTCCTCCTCCTCCTCCTCATCCTCCTCCTCCTCCTCCTCCTGCTCCTCACCCTCTGCTTCTCTCGTAGGGTGCACGTCCCCTGGAAGAACTCCAAGCGCGACGGCGCTCTCCTTGAGGGAGTTCAGCGTTGCTGGGCGACCTAGAATCAGTGTCGGGCACTCATGGGGCGCGCGCCGCCGCGGTGGCGCGCGCCCCTGTGCCCCAGATGAGCCGCTAGCCCGCTGCGTCGCACCTCGCAGACCTATTATCGAGCACGGATTCATGCGCGTGTCATGCTGTTTCATGGCGAACAATTGTTGCGTCGTCGTCGTCGTGAAAGCACATCGAAGGGAGTCTATTGGATCATCCTTTCCTTTCTTCTTCCTTGTTGCAAAGCAAGAAAACCAAACATACACAGCGTTTGGTGCCCTCGGCGCAAGGAAACGCTGTGTTTTTTAGTTTGAGAAGCAAGGACACGTTGTGTATTTTTGTTTTATAATATATATGTATATATATATATATATATATATGGTTTTGCAAGCCCCTTTCCTCTTCCTTGTTGCAAAACAAGAAAACCAAACGTACACTGTGTTTGGCGCCTTCGGTGCAAGGAAACGCTGTGTATGTTTGTTTTTTGTTGTTTTTTTGGTTTGAGAATCAAGGGGACCTTGTGCATTTTTTGTTTTTTGGTTTTGGAAGCCCCGACGCTCGCGTCAGCCTCCCTCCCAGTACCCTTAGAGCTTGCAAAAAAAAAAAAAAAAAAAAAAAAAAAAAAACAAGGTTTCCTTGATTCTCAAACCAAAAAAACCAAAAAAAAATACACAGCGTTTCCTTGCACCGAGGGCGCCAAACACTGTGTATGTTTGGTTTTCTTGGTCTGAGGCGCATGGAGGGTGCTGAGAGGGAGGCCAGCGCGGGCATTCGGGCTTGCAAAACCAAAAAAACAAAAACAAATACACAGCGTTTCCTTGCCTCTCAGACCAAAAAAAAACAAAAACAAACCAAACATACACAGCATTTCCTTGCACCGACGGCGCCATACACAATGCATTTTAGGTTTCCTCGGCTTGGGAGACGCAGGGAGGAGGAGGAGGAGGAGGAGGAGGAGGAGGGGGAGGAGAAGGAGGGGGAGGAGGAGGAGGAGGAGGAGGAGGAGGAGGAGGAGGAGGAGGAGGAGGAGAGCGACGAGGAGAAACGATCAGTGAAGATTTTGTGGTTTTGGTGGTTTGGGGGTGCTGGGGGAGGGGGCGACCGTATATTTACATGTATATATGTATGGATACCATATTCAGACCCACTGGCACTGGCTCCTCACGGTCAGACGCGCCCGTGATCACCGCGATCCAGCAGGCGTAGCTTTTGGGCACCCCAAGGGGGAGGCGCCGGGAGGTATGACATTCGTGGGAATGCCTCGAGCGAGGCGCCCGCTTGGAGTTCCCAGCTCCTGTGTTTTCAGCGCCTTCTGGAAACCGCAATACAGCAGGCACTGCACTTGAGAAACCCATAGGGGAACCGCCAGGCGATCTGACACTTCCCCGTTCGCGCTCCGATTGTGTGTGTCTCGAGCGAGGCGCTCGTTCTGAGTATCGGACTCCCTTGTTTGAGGAACGCCGTGATCACCGCGATATAGCATGCCTAGCACCTGGGCGACCCGTGGGGGAACCGCCAGGGAGGGTTCTGACACTTTCCGATCGCGCTCTGATTGTAGGTTATCTCCAGCAGATCGCACGTCGCGGGGGCCTCATGATCACAGCGATGCAGCAGGCATATAGCACGTGCGTACCCAAAGGGGGAGACGCCAGGGGGAATATCACCTCCCCGTTCGCGCTCAGATTGTAGGAGGTATCTCGAGCAGTTCGCACGCTCAGAGTCCCCAGTTCCTCGTTTTGAGAGCCTCTGGAATTCCTCCGCATACCTCATGGAGGAGCCGGCAGGGGGTACGACGTTTCGTTGTTTTTTGGTTTGGAGAAAGTTTCATCACTACCGCAATCTAGCAGGCATAGCAGTTCGGTACACCAGCGGGGAGCCGCCGGGGGGTATCATCCAGGGGCGAAGAAAAGGCAGCACACGGCGGCAGAGAGAAGCAGAGAGAAGCGCTCACATTCGGACGTGAGCATACCCAGTACTATTCATGTTTGGGCCAGGTCCCACCCCTCAGGCATCAACAGAGGACGGCACCAGAAATCGAGAGGGATGAGGGAGCAAGGACGAGCACGGGGCCGACTGCTCGGACGTTCGCGCATTGGTTTCCCACGTAAGATCGCCCGCAAGCCCCCGCCTCTCGACGCGGTGTACCAAGCTGGCGGCTCTCGTAAGCCGCGGCATAGAGTCGCTATGGCATCTCGCGGAAAACCCGTTTCTTCTCGTCGCCTGTGTCGGGATCCCGCGTCGAGTACTTCTTAGTTTGACGCATCCGCCTCCTCACGCTCCCGTTTTCCATTTTCCACACCCAGATGTACTCCCTCGTGCTCGGACTCACTGACACCTCACTCGTTCACACTCAGACTCGCTCATGCCCAGACTGGCTCACACTCAGCTTCATCCACATTCAAAAGTTTGAGAACCTTCAGATTCACGCACGCTCGGCTTCCATCGCACTTCGTTTCTGATGCTCCAACTGCTCATACGAATACCCGGGAGTCCCATGATCACCGCTGTGTAGCACGCGTGGCAGTTGAGCACCGTAAAGAGGAACCGCCAGGTCATAGGACACGTGCCCGGTCGCATGGATAGTGGGGACTTATCGAGCGAGGCGCTCGTTGGGAGTCCCCGGCGCTTCTGCATGGAGAGGCCAGCGATCACCTCGATTCAGCAGGCGTGGCACTTGTGCATTCCAAGGAGGAGCCGCCAGGGGGTAGGACATGTCCTTGTTCGCGCCTGGACTGGGGATGTCTCAGGCGCTGTCTCAAGAACGTCGCTTGTTTGGGCATCCTCGACCCCTCTTCCCTTGACTTGGCAACTCCAGGGGGTAGCCGCCAGGGAGCGCCCAGTCGCAACAGGCTAAGAATCGTTCATTCGGACACTTGGAGGGCGAGAAGCGCCAGGAAATGAGATGCACGTGTTGGGAACTCCGCGTCGAATCGTGTTTTCTGTGTTCTTCGGCACCCAGAGGCCGAAAGCATTGTAATACTTTTGCGCTGATGCTTTCAGCACGTTGGAGATCTGGGTTCGCAGAGACCCGACGTCTCGACGACATTGCAACATCGTAGAACAGCCGAATCGGAGCTCTGGCCCCAGTTTTCAAGCTGCAAAGTTTGAGCGGGATCGATCCGTGTGTGTGTGTGTGTGCCCTGCGGCCCGAAACAGCGCAACATCGCTCGTAGCGGAACCAAAAAATAACGCCAGGACCTCAGGGTCCTGGCGGAGGTCGGGTCGTAACTCGGGCCTCCGGCAGCCGGCCGGGACGACCTGGGTGCCTCCAGAACGCCCCCGGCGAGGCGCCCGTGCTGGGGGGCACCCCGAGGCCAGAAAGACGCCGAAAGCCAACGAAAATGTTCGAGAACCTTGAACTTCGAACCTCGAACTTTGTACCTCTCCCTGCCGCGAAGGTCCGGGCCGAAGCCGCCGCCGGGGCCGCCGCCGGTGCGGCTCATCGAACGGCGCGCGTCACTGCCGAAGTCGCCGCTAGGGATGCCACCCCCGCCGCCGCCGCCAGGTCGGCAGGGTGCGCGGCGTTGGCCAGCCTCGTCCGCAGGCGCGACGGCGCGGGCGCATGTCGGTCTTCGATCCTCCTGCTCCTGCCCTTGCTCCTGCTCCTTCTCATCCTCCTGCTCTTCCTCGCTCTGGTCTTCTTGTTCCTCTTTATCCGTCTCCTCCTCCTCCTCCGCCTCCTCCTCCTCCACATCCTCCTCCTCCTCCTCCTCCTCCTCCTCCTCCTCCTCCTCCTCCTCTCCCTCCTCATCCTCCTTCCGTGACCATTTTGGCTCAAGATGCCATTGTGTTTCGGGCAGAGAACGGACATGTCTGATTCGAGGCTAGATCACCGCTGCTTTTCTCCCGACGCAATCCCCGTGGCGAGCCTCCGGGCGTTCACGGGCCACATTCACCACTCGGCTTGTTCGCTGCGTGGGTAAGTGGTGGAGCACCCAGTTCCTGCTCAGCTTAGTGTTGCAGATGTGGGGAGGCGTCATGACAGGGCCGAGAAGTGCGAGGCGGTGAAGTCTTCGTCATATCCTGGACCACAGCGGGGCCGATGTGAAGATGAGGGTATCAAGCGTAGTTTTTCCCCGAGCCGTTCGTTGTCTCCTGGGCTCGATCGTCGCAGTCGGTCGGGAGCGGGGAGCAGTCCTGGGCGTTCGTTCGCAGGTTCGACTTCGTTCGTGGGCTACTCCAAGATTGGCTACAGCTGCTTCGCGAGTGTGGCCACCCCTTCCATCAGTGAGGCGATGCAGGTCTCACTCGACGCCTTCACGGCCACAGTGAGCGAGCAGCTGAACCACCATATCCAGGAGTCGTGGAGCAGTATCATGAGAGAGGTCCTGGTGTACAAGTCGCTCGGGGATGCCAGAATGGCGGGCATCGGGACTTCTCTCGATCCCCTGCGCAACATGCTGCCCGCCTCATCTGAGAACAACATGGGAAGTGTGTCCAGCGCCAATGGCCAAGCCCAGCAAGACCCGTGGGCCACTTCCGGCGCACGCAACAGGACGGATGAGTCAGCTCGACATCGCAGCCAAGAACATCAAACACGGATATCCAAGACCTCGAAGCATTAGCCACTGTTGGTGTGGGAGGGATTCGTGGTGTTCCTGCCCAGTCGCCTCGAGGTGATGAGGGTGCGCAGGCCAGTCGAAATATCAACGACTGCAAAGGATGGACTGGCACTTACCCGAGGTACATCATATAGGCGCCCAGAAAGTGCCGCACTGGGAGACTGTACTCAAGCTAATGGTGCCATCGCACCTCCTCTGCGGGGCGGGCCCCCAGATGAAAGGCGTGTCCACGAGCTACAGTATCACGTTTCCCACCGCTGGTGCTTCCCGAAATTTTTCCGAGGACATGAGCGACAAGACTCCCCACTGGCATGGCAATCTTACTTCTTCATCGCTTACGCTTCGTGCGAGGCAAGAACTTCCAGTGGATGTGAGGGCTAAGCAGACGGCGATTCGCCGCATCTGTGAGCAGACCCCTTCCACTTTTCGCAAGTTCAGACGCCGGATCTCGGACTACCGCTTGGGGGCGATTCATTTCCATGGGGCTAATCCACCGGACCTCGCAGGGGGGCGCGGTCGAGCTCTACTGGATCCAATGCAGCGAATCCATTGGCGTGGAGGAGGTTGCTGATTTGATTGGCCCGCGCGGCAGACTTCGTCTGTCACGCTCACCGACCCCATGTCCAGGGCGAGCGGATTCGATGGCCGGCCGCGGGAGCAGCTGCGCGAGGACCTCCCTTTCCTTTTGAGCAGCGCAGGTCAGCGCCGCGAGCCCACTGCACGAGCCAGCCCACCCATGCTAGAGCTTGTCTCTCTTGTTATTTTTCTCGCTCTCCCCCTGTTCGCCCACCTCGTCGCCCTCTTCTTCCTCTTCCTCTTCTGCCTCGTCTTCCGATGGGCACCTCCCGATGTCCCCGAGCCTCCGCGCCGAGACGTTCCGTTCCTCGCCACCAGCAGCCTCGGGGCTGCGACGTGGAATGCGCGTGCACTTTCTGAATGCATTTGGAGGGGCCCGAGGATTCAGGGAGCGACGCGGGCCAACTCAAAAGGCTCGTCCTGGATATCTTCATGCGATCGCGCTGCTAGATACGCACGGGGAGCGTGCCGATTTGATCGGGCTGGGGAAGACTTACCCGTCCTTGACAACCGCGGGGTCTTTCATTGATTCGGCGCGCGCTGAGGGAGGGCCCACGAGAGGCTCGCCATGAGGTTCAATCGGTTCCTGTTGGCTCCAGGGGGCGGATTGTGGTCTTGAGGATGCATGGTGCCTGAGGTAACCTTGATGTCGTGAACGTGCACGTTGATCCGAGATGGCATCACTTTCGAGCTAGACGTGTCCTTCGAGCCTTGAAGCGTCGCGTTCGGGGCGGCGCTGCTGCGACCGCCGTCGCCGATGGTGACTTTCACTTTGCGGCCACTGGCGAAGGCAGATTGCGGGCCACAGAGCTTCCAATCGAGATGGGCTCCAATTCCATTGGCAAGTTGTTCGACGAGGTGTTCCCTGGGACGCAAGAGCTGCACCAACCTGACAATGCCCACAAAGCCGTCATCGCCAGGAAGTTGTTTCTTTGAGGAGGCCAGATCGAATATGCCCGTTTATCCCTGCTCCCGATGTTCTCGAACTTTGCCCCCATCACTGGACTCGCGCGGGCCCTTGTGAACCGCTGCCCACACAGTCGCGACGCGTGCGCGTTTGTCTCACCGCAGTAGCTCCAAGTGGTTGTCTCGCCACCGTCAGCTTGGGGCTGCGCTTCGTTTGCATCTGGAGGAGGTCAATCTCTCGGAGTGTCCAGAGACGAGGGTGGAGAGGTCAACGAGGTTGGATATGAGGATGCTCGCCGCATCGAGGATATTCCAGAGCTGCGCGGATCTGCGCCAGCTGTTGCAGGCCTCGGCGGCGCGCATCCACCGAGGGAAGACAATCCCGACCTCGGTGATGGCGGCAATATTTCTGGCTTCCAGGGTGGCCGCCATAATGCCACCAGCACCGAAATCTGGGATCGTCTCCCCCCTGTGGAGGCAGCCCCCCTGCGTTGGTGTTGGCGCCTACTTCCAGGCCTCCACGGCCGCGCAGAGAATCCCCTGGATGCCGGCGCTGCCGAGAGCACGCCGTGGCGGACCTCGCGAACAAAAAGCAGTCCTCCGCGCCCCGCGCGCGTGGCCCGTGCTTCGGGGCGCCTGCGGCGCGGGAGCTGTCCGGCGGCGCGCCGTCGCCAGCTTCCGCGGGCTGCCATCGTCGCGGAGGGGGGGCTCGCAGGTAGGGGGGGGGGAATTCGGAGGTTGATGCACCTCCTGCCCTGACGCGTCGATCAGCGAAGTGGCCGTTTTCGGTTCGCGAGAGGGCGTCGCGGCCGTCATTCTTGTGGGTCCAGGTCCGTTTTCACCAGAGGGTGGTTTACTGAATCAAGGTTTGTCCACCGCCGAAGGATGAGGAGATCTTCAGGATGCCGATCTCTCACCAGTCCAGAAAGCGACTGGGCCTCAAATAATCAAGGAGCTCGCTGCTGCTTGTTGTCCTTCGCACAGACGACTGTTTCTTCTTTGGTGTGTCCGGGCCTGGCGAGACCATCGCCGACCCCGCAGAGCGCGCGACACAGTTGTCCGAGCCATGGGGGAAGTCGCCAAGTTCCAGCACTCTGAGGTTTCTGATTCTCCCGCCCTGGACCCGTTCATTTAGAGTGTTCCTCAGGGGACTCAGTGGTTTCTGATGCATGGGACATTCGAGGAATTGGCCAGAAAAGGACACATATCTGCTTTGGCTTGGATGGGACTCCTCGCTCCATGGAAAGCGAGTCGGAAGATGGCGATTGACGCCCTCAACAAGCTGTGCTCGTTTGGTTTGGTGCGCGGATCTTGCCCCTGCGATGCGCGGAGCTTTCCCCTGGCTTCCGTTTTGCCGAAGGGCGAGATCTCTGTGCGCGAGCTTGGCCAGGTTCAGTTACCGCACCCGGCTCGTCCGCGGAGGCCATCAAGCGCCAACAAGAAGTGACCGGCTAGCGCCTGCTCCTCCCCGCTCCATCATGTGGCTTCCCGGGTGGCCCACCACTCGCAGGCTGGGTTCCCAGGAAGCAGATCCTGGACGGGATTGTTTTCTTACTCACAAGGCGAGCCCGTTCTTCAGCAACTCCGTTCTGTCGTGCCTGATGGCTGTGAAGGCCGAGCTGGCCGCATCCCCAGCGCCCTTATCTCGCCTGCCCGCCCTCGCTTTCAAGCAAATGTCTATCTGATGTTGCCAGGGAGCCTCCGTCGGACATGCATGGCGGTCTTGCTGTCTCCGCTGCCCATCACGAGGCTTTGACCACTGGCTTGAGGATTAACTTCCTGACCGAGTATGTTCCTCCGTGCATCAACTCCTCGCTGCTCAAGGCTACATGTAGTCATCGGCATTGCTCTGCCCGTTGCTCTATCCCGTTTCGCCCAGGCAGGTGCTGCGTTTTAGGGATGGATGACCAGATGGTTCGTTCCCTTCAGTGCCCGCGTTGTCCTCTGGAGGTGAGAGCGGGCTTCCCTCTCCTCCCTGCGTCTTGGGGATTTGGGGACGACCCATCTAGGATGTTTACCCCGGGGGTGCCTGGCCCAACCTGAAGGCCCCCTCCCTTGTCAGTGTGGCACTAGGCACTGATATGTTGCATTTCGTTTGCAATACCCTCATGCATGAGGTCTGTTTTCTCGCTGCCATGTCTCATCAAGGCGAGGGCGAACTCCACTGCCCGCCGCAGTCTTCATGCTCGTGCTGCGCGTCAGAGACGCCGCTGAGTAGGACTTTTCCTCCTCCTGCCTCCCCGTGCCGAACAGGACCCTCCCTCCCCACTGAGTAGGACCCTCCCCCCCCTGCCGAGTAGGACTCCTCCCTCTCCTTCGCTTCGTCCGCAGGCGCGGCGGCGCGAGCGCACTCGGTGGTGCCTGGGCGGTTCCTGGCGGCGGGGGTGGCGACGACGACGACGACGACGCCGACGACGACGCCGACGACGACGACGACGACAACGACGACGACGGCGGCGACGACGACGATGACGACGACTACCAGGCCGCCTCGCGTCGGTGGTGCCCGGGATGTTCCTGGCGGCGCGTGCTGCGACGACGACGGCGATTTTCACAGTTGGCGATTTTGCCGGGTCTCAGGCCCCAAGGATCCCCACGGATCGACCCGGCTTTGATATTTGTTTTAAGTCCGCGGGCGTCAAGCGGCAAAGGACAATCAGATGCCGGTCAGGAAGCGGTGGGATGCACCAGGAACGATTTGAAGCACCAAAGCGAACAGCACGGCGGGGGCCCCACCCCCGACTCAAGCATGCAGCAGAAAGATGGGGCCCAGGGGTCCTGTCGAGTGTATCCCGTGTTGTAGTTTTTTCGTGGCATCGGATCTCAGTGACGGCGATGGCGACGGCTACACTTCAGAGCCAGGCGACGCAACAAGAGAATCGTGATGGCCAATCTGCGGACGTCGTCGGCCTCCTGCTGGCCGCCTTTGATGGCCAAGCCACGCACACGCTCAAGCTCACACACACACACACACACACACAAACACACACACACACCCTTTGAGAAGGGTCTGGCATCCCCTTGGGACCCGTGGCGCGAAACAAATTCGCCAGCGGATGAGAGGGACGCCGACAGCGAAGACGATGTCGCCGTCGCTTTGCAGGTGGGGCCTTTTCTGGAGAGTGTCGTGGCCACGTCTAAGCGCGGCTCGAAAAACTTCCCCAGGAGGAGCCCCATCAGGAATCAAGGATCGAGGCTGGATTGAGGATCAAAGGCAGGTTTCTTATTAACGCCCTGGGGCTCTTCTGGCCCTCCGGGGGGCGGCCTCGTGGCCACGGCGGGGCGCAGCCCGAGTTTTTGTTGGTTGTCACCTGGGGCCAGGGACTCGTTGCGAGTGGCTTTGGGTCGGGGGCAGGGAGCGGGGGGGAAAGGGGAGGGGGGGTCCTTCTCCTCCTCCATCTCCTCCTCCTCCTCCTCCTCCTCCTCCTCCTCCTTCTCCTCCTCCTCCTCCTCCTCCTCCTCCTCCTCCTCCTCCTCCTCCTCCGCGAGGGTGGCGGCATTGCAGGGCTTGTCGGAACGGATCGATGGCCTCCAGGGGGGACGACCTGTGAGGGCCTTCTCCGAAGGCCGCCCCCTTGCCAGGCCTGGAGGTCTGGACCCCGGTCCCCGGGACCAGCTTTTGATCCTGAGTTGCTCTTTGGAAGCTCCGGTGCCCAGCGAGGGCCCGCGGAGGCAGAAACCTTCCGAAGAAGAGCAAACGGCACAGACATAGACTGTCGACGGTCCGCGCGAATTTCTTGGACCCGCCCTGGACCCCCCTCCCCGGCTTGCGGAGCGCGGCAGGGGGCCGGCGCCGGAGGCACCGCCAGGGGGGCTCCGCGAAGAGCCAAGAGATCCGCGCGGAGCGTGGAAAGTTTGTATTTTTAGAGTTCTGTTCCTCTGAGTGTGCCAGAACCCTCCGTCGTCATGTCCTCCTCCTCACGGGAGGATGTCAGGGCCGCTCTGCCCCCGCGGGCGCGCCACCAAGGTTCCTCAAGAACCTGCGCTCGGCCGCGCCGTGGCGGCGGCCATCGAACGCGGCGAGCGGCCCGAAGCAGAGGGCACGGCGCTCGGGCGGCAGGCTTCGGTAGCAAATCGTGAGAGCCTCGTGTGTCCTCGTAACTCCGTCTCTAGAGTGCAGTAGCGAGCGCTTGCGCCTTGTAACAGATGAGCAAGCGCCGCTGTGGCGTCGATTCAGCATCGGCTGAGCGTCGATTTAGCGTGGGCGAGCGTCGATTAGCGTCGCTTAGCGTCGGCTAGCGTCGGCTTGCAAGAGCCAGCAAGATGGCATGAGAGGCTCCAAAGAGTTGCCATCGAAGCAGGTGCACGTACCACGTGCTGTACTGGGAGGCCGCGGAAGGGTGCGGGGGTGGCAAACCGGGCATCGAGTTCGGCAAGCCTCTCGGGCCGCGCCGCGACCAGACACCCGAGCTGCCGTGCTACTGCAAGCAGTGCGACGGAGCCGTAGACACGTGGCGCTTTCGGCTCGATGCCACGCACGCCACGCTCCGGATGATCGCCAAAGAGGGCGTCGGCTTCCGCGAGGAGGTGCAGGAGTTCATTTGCGTCTCGCCACGCGGCGTGCTGGAATACGACTTGCACCGCTTCAAGCAATACAACCGGGACCGCAAAAAGAACGTGCTCACAGAGAACATCGTCCTCGGCACACCGATGCAGGTGGAGATGGGCAACGTCAGCCCTGATGACTGCGGGGTCTCCATTGCGACGCTCTCGCAGGGAGTTGGAGGTGAAGACGAGGAGGACACAGAGGGCGAATTACCTACCCTGGTTTCGCTTCCGGGCAAGACCAAGTCATACCATGCGCCTCCTGGTCAAGTAACCGTTGCGGGCCACCCCACGTACAGATCGGTATCATTTGGTTCCCGTTTGGAAGCGAGGGTGTTCAAAAGCGAGGTCGGTTCTTTTCACCTCTGCAGGACACCAGGATCGCCAGGGTCTGCGAGTACATGCGCGAGGTCGCCGCCAGGGTCCGGGAGCACGCGGCCGCCGACGGTGGCTCCGCCGCCCTCCTGGTGGTGCACCCCGGTGGCGTGGCGGTGGACAGCTTCGGGGCAGACCTGCCGTTCTTTGCGCACTCGCCCGAGGACCGAAGACGAAAACACGGCATGAACGCACGGTTGGCAACTTCGGCTTGGCGTGCCGCGCCGCCAGCTCTGGCCTACCACGCTCCGGCGCGACACGCCCTCCGCGTCCCAGCCCCCACGCGTTCACTTCTCGAGTGTTCCCCAGCCGCCCTTGCCCCGCGGAGCGGAGCAACGCGCCATCCGTTTGCAGCGGATAGCGTCCGTCGCAGGAAGACGCGGAGGAAAAGGACCAGGGCGTGAGCTTTCGGAGTGCCGCGCGGAGTTCTTGGATCGGCGATTGCCCCTCTCTCCCTGGCGCGCTCCGCGCGAGATGGTGGCGCGGGAGGCGCCGACAGGAGGGCCCTGGCGCCGATGCAAGAAACCTGCGTGCACCTCCGAAACTGTGTGTAGTGCTGTCTTCCTCCAGAGGAGCCCATTACGCGCGTGGTTGTGCTCCTGGCGGGCCCTTGTGGATTCGGGCAGAAACTCCTGGGCAGGTTCGAGGAGGCGCTGACCGGGGAGGCCGGCTGCCACGCGGGCCCGCTTCGGCTCGGCGTGCCGGCGGCGCGCAACTCGAGCGCGGCGCTGGGCACGCTGCTGATGTGCCACGACCGCGGGGCGTTGGTGCCCATCCTGGAGGACGTGCGGCTCCTCGGGCCCATAGGCTATCGATGGCGCCTCCAGCGAACCGCCGCCGACCCGTGCGTTTTTTTGTTTTTGTTCGGCGACGCTGCATCGAGCCATCCACGCTGCCATCGGGGCATCCATGCCTTGATGGAAGCGGTCATGGTGTAGCCACACCTGTGGCCGAAGTTTGGGCGATCTCTCGGAGATGTCCACCCCAAGCCATTGCACGGCTATCTTCAGTATTTTTTGGGGGCCCAAGAGGCGTCCATGGCGGCGCAAGAGGACGCGGAGATGGTGCCAAGACGACCCAAATCTGCTCCAGAGGTTTCAAGATGGCCCAGGAATCCTCACGGAGATCCAAAGAGGCACCAAGGGGCCCCATGGGGACCACACGAGACTCCAAGAGAGAGGTTCACAAACGTTCCAGGATACTCGCCAGATTCTTCAAACACTTTTGCGCGTTCGCCATCTCGGCTCAATATGGTTTCAAGAGATTCATCGGGCTCCGAGAGGGCCCAAACAAGAAGTCAAATCGTCGAGGGCCCCAATCTGCCCCCAAGACGGCTCAAGATCGCCTCCAGGTTTCAAGAGAGCTTCAAGACGTTGCATGGCGCCAAGACTGCCAGCCCAAGGACTCAACAACGGCCCCGGCACGCCCCGACACGGCTGGAGAGCGCCCCAGTGGCCCGAACAGGTCCCCAAGGGGACGCCCCAAAAGCCACCCAGACTGTGACATAGGGCCCCAGGAGAACCTCCACAGACCACCTACGCCCTAAAGGGCTGGTGGGATTCGGTTTCCAGTCGCGGATTCCAGTCACGAGCGAGCCACCGACGTGTTCGAAACCCTCGCTGGGACGCCGACGCGCCGTCCCTTCGTTACCGAAATTCGATTCCGCGATCGAAGTTTGGCGCGACTGAAATCCGTTACCAGAAATTTCTTGTCGCGGATGACCTGGGAGGCGGCCCCAAAAGGTCGAGAAGAAGGGAAAGCGCCGCGATGAAGAAGGACACATCGCCGGAGGTCCTGCCTGCTAAGACGCCACGCTGCTCCGTTGCTGAAGCTTGCCCTCTGTTGCGTTGCATCTTTGGGGGGGCCTTGTCTGTCCTGCTGATCGCAGTCTTCTTCCCTTGTAACGTGCGCGGGTCCGACGCGGATTCGGCACGGACACGGATTCGGCGCGGATTCGACACGGACTCGGCGCGGACATTCGCGCGCAGAGCTGGCTGGCGATGGGGCAGGCAGGGGCCCCCGAAGACGGGCCAAGGGGCGGCCGCTGCGGGCACGAGCGGGGGCCACTGTGCTCGCGCCACTGTGCTCGCGAACCACGCGCTGCCCGGCGCGCGGGCAAGAAGCGAGGGTGGAAAAACCACCCCGACCCCGACAATTCGCGTTTACTAATACGGGGCGTGAAAACGACCACGCTCACTGCTTTTCTTTTGTCGCCGCCTTCCAGCCCGCAGAAACAAAGCAGTGGTTGTGGTCACTTTCGTTGAGCTTGGCACCAGGGAAATAACCACAACCACTGCTTCTTTTTCGGCCGGCTGGAAGGCGGCGCAAACAAGAAGCAGTGGCTGTGGTCATTTTCCCGTCCCGCAACTAAACAGCCTTGGGCGTTTATTAAACAGCCCTGCCCCGTTCGACTCCTTCCGTGGGTGCGTTCACTGAACAAACGGCTTCGCTTGTCTGGGTGCTTGTTGTGAGGGTGGATTTTCTGCTCTCTAGAGAAACAGGCTCGAGCCGTCGCGAACAGGAGGGGGCGGGACTCCTGCGCTGGCTGATCGGGGCAGCGGGGGGGAGGGCCGGAGGAGAGGAGGGGGAGACGCAGCGACGCTCGGCAGCTTCACACCTGCAGCCCTGCGGCCCTCACCGGTGGGAGGGTGGGGCGTGCGGCCTCGGCGTGGGTGCAGAGTGCGCGCGGGGCCCTGCTCGGCCTGGCGCTCCGGCGGGGCCTGGGCCCGGAGGAGAAGCTAGAGCTCCTGCGGGCCCTGCGGGCAGAGGCCCCGCGCCGCGGGGCAAAAGGGCCCCCTCCTCCTCCTCCTCCTCCTCCTCCTCCTCCTCCTCCTCCTCCTATTCCTCCTCCTCCTCCTCCTCCTATTCCTCCTCCTCCTCGGGCAAACGGGCCCTGCAAGAGGAGCGGGCCCCGAGGTTTTCGCTCCGCCGCAGAGCTGCCCCGATGCGCCCGTTTCTGGGAAAACGCAGCACGTGCCGCAGTCAGAGCGCCCGGGTGAACCCCCGCTGCGTGCTGGCTCGGCGCGTGTGGGCCCACGTTTTTTTCGGGCTGGGCGACAGGGGCTGGCCTACGCGAGCTGATTCTCCCCCCCCCCCCCCCTTTTGCTAAGTTGTTCAAAGATGTCTCAAGCGGAACCAACAATTCTTCGAGGATGTCTCAAGCGAAGCGAGAGACTTGTCGATGATGTCTCAAGCGAAACACGCTTTATTTCGAGGATGCCTCAGGCGAACATCATCTCTTTCTTCTCCCACATGCTGGCCTCCGGTAGGCAGCATTTATCATCCCCTCGCGACCCCGAATTTTCTGATCCCTGTGGGACTACTCTCCGTGGTGTTCGGTCATCCCCCCCTCTCGCCCGACCCGAGCTTTGGCGAACGCATCGCGCCAGGCCCGCGCGTCTTCGGTCTGCGTGTCGACCTCCGTGCCCGCGCGCTAGGCGGGCTGCGCGCGGCGCCTCGGGGCAGCTACAGACTCCGCCGCTCTCGGGTTGCCCCGGCCCTCCGACGATCCGGTGCCGAGCCGTCGTGGCGTCTTCCCTCCGCTTCGGCCTCCGAGGACCCCTCTCGGACCCTGGGGCCCTCAACACACAAACACCGGGCCTCAAAACTACCCCCCCGGGGAAAGGGTCATCACCAGCCTCGATCGTGTCCCTATCCCCAAGATTGACACGCCAAAAAGCGATGACGATCTTAGGGATGCGCCCTCAAAAAATGGGGGATCCCCAAGATTGGCATCGTGATGAGGAGATGCCCAGCATAGGGATAGGGATACGTTCCAGGCTGGAAAGGGTCGGGCGCTCTGGAGCCGCGGAAAACTCGTGTCGGAGGATGCCGGAGTTCTCGGGCTCTTGGAGCCCTGCCCATGCAGGCCCCGAGGCCGCCGAAGCATTGCCCGGGAGGGGCGGAGGATGGGTTCCGCGCGGGGGGGAGGCTCCAGGGTCAGACCCGTTCCCAGACCTCCGAGGGTACGATTGGTTCACTCATCTCGGCGTTTTTTTCCTTTCCCTTTCGACCATCAGGGGCTGCATTCGGGCCGCAAGGCCATCGAACATGGACCAGGGACGCAAGACTTCTGAGATCATGCTTGGGTGTTGTCGAGGGGATGGGGAGGACAGAAGTGGGTGCGAAGGTGGGTAACACCTGGCCTGACCTAGCTTGCAAGCGGGCTGCGCATGCCCTATGTGGGTGTAGGGGGCAGATCTGGTCTAAGTGGGCGGAGCCCACCTCGCGGAGCTGTTGAAGGACACCAAACGACTTAGGACATGTGCAAGCCACTTATGCGCTAAGTTCGGCAATGTATATACGTCACCTCAGCATCCATTTCTAACCTCCCGATGCCCTTCACACCCCAAACTTCCGACGTTGTGATTTGCATGTCGCCGACCGCCAGGGGGCTCGACCCCTTCCCCTGGACAGTTGCTCCATCCCGAGCAGTTTTTCGACGGTCCTGGGGCCCAGCGAGGGCCCCCAGAGGCCGAAAGCTATCCACAGCTGTCCGTCCTGATTCAGGAGGGAAAGAAACACACAGACACAATTAATCCTCGACTCCCTAGAAAATATAGGAAAATATGGGCAGTGGAGGGGAAGACTGAAACCCAGAATATGTGGGAAAATATGGGGCATCTTTTTAGTTGTGTGTATTTATTTGTGTGCCCTGGGGCCCCTTCACTGATGTGCTGATTTGCCAGGGTTCCCCTCGTGAGCCGAGGGGGGCCCTCGAGGGACAGGACCGACCAGCGGCGACGCACGCGGGGTGGGGTCGACGAAATTCCACGTCGAGCGGTCTGCGCTGCCGGGAGTCCAGGGGGCAGGAGGAGGAGGAGGAGGAGGAGGAGGAGGAGGAGGAGGAGGAGGAGGAGGAGGAGGGGGAGGAGGAGGAGGAGGAGGAGGAGGAGGAGGAGGAGGAGGAGAGGAGGAGGAGGAGGAGGAGGAGGAGAGGAGGAGGAGGAGGAGGAGGAGGAGGAGGAGGAGGAGGAGGAGGAGGAGGAGGAGGAGGAGGAGGAGCAGGGTTCCCTTCGAAGGTCAGCGAGGGAGACGATGCCGGAGACGGCCGCCAGAGAGCCAGCGACGACGACGGGGCTGGGCGCGGCGAGCAGGAGGCCGCCTCGGGGGTGCCCCGGGCCGCGAAGGCCCGCGTCGGGCGGCAACGGGGGGAGGGCCTAGGGGGGCCACCACTGTGCCGTCAGGGTGGCTACGTTGCAAGGGCTCCCACGAGGGCGCGAAGGCAGTCGCGCTTCGCGCTTCGCGGGCCTCACTCCTGCTCCCCCTCCTCCTCGTCCTCCTCTTCTCCCCTTTGGGGGCGGCGCGAGAGCGCGAAGTTGTTCGCGCTTCGCGCAGCGCGAAGCGCGAAGTTAGGAGCCCTTGACGTTGCATCCTCGGGGGGGGCCTCTTCTCTGATGTCCGACGCGCGGTCGGGGCGAAGTCGCCGTGCAGTCGGTGTGGCCTCGACGCGGATTCGGCGTGGGTTCCACGCGGATGCGACGCGCCCGATTCGGACGCGGCACGGCTTCGGCGCGGATCGCGGCGCGGCGGGGCAGGCAGGGCCCCCCGAAGAGATGCAACATCAGGGGGGGGTCACCACACTCCTCCTGGGAGTCGAAGCTGCAGGATCAGAGGCCCGAGGAGGCCTCTGGACGCCTGGGGCCATCCCGGGAGGCTCTGGAGAGCTCCTGGGGGGCCCGCCTCCTCGAGGCAGCGGCGCTCCCTCGGGGAAGCGGTGACCGCCCTGCGTGGTCCGCAGGGGTGGCCCTCCCCGCGGCATTGCCCCAGGAGTCAGGAGCGAAAGTAGGACGTGCACGCACATGAAGCCACGCTGGCTTCGAGGGTGCGCGCGGCGCGACTGCTCGTAGCATGCGGCCTTGTCGCGCGGATCGGGAGGCCGCGTTCATGCACATGGTTGGGCGCGTACTTCGTGTCCCTCCACAGTTCTGGGTCCCCGCGCTACTGGTACCCCCCGGACTACAGGTACACCCCCCGGACTACAGGTACCCCCCCCTGGACTATAGGTACCCCCCCCTCGGACCTATACAGGCCCCCCCCTCCCGGACTACAAGTACCCCTCCCCCGGACTACAGGCACCCCCCCCGTACGTACTATAGGTACCCCCCCCCTGGACCTATACAGGCCCCCCCCTGCCGGACTGCAGATACCCCTCCCCCGGACTACCAGTACCCCTCCCCCGGACGACAGGCACCGCCAAGACTATGGAGGGACACAGAGTGTATGTCCTCTGTGGGTTCCATACCCCTGACCTTCCAGAGTGCTAAAACATAGCCCTCCAGACCTATGGACCTATCTGGGCGTTGCCTAAAACCTCGACTGGAATTAAGATATCGAGGTCCTGGTGCTATTTTTTGACCCTCCTGGAAGGTCAGGGAAAGAGGGGGGGGAAGCGTGGTCCTGTGTCCTCGGCCTCGCGGCCTGGGCTGCTCGACCGCGGCGCCCCAGCAGGCCGCGGGGCCGACCTGCGCGGCCGCCCCGCGCGTGCGGGGAAAGTGTCTATCCACATCCAGTGCGTCTTGGAGTTTCGGGCCCTCTTCCCCAAAAACATGAGACGCACTGGATATGGATAAAAATCTGGCCCCCAAAGGCTACATCTTATCCACATCCAGTGCGCCTCGTCCTTGCGGCGCCCCTTCCAAGAAAGTCCAAGACGCATTGGATGTGGTCGTAATTATTGCCCGCGGCGCGGGGCGACCTGTCCGCGAGGCCGCGCATCCAGGCAGCGCCGCGGGCCCCGGGATCCGGGCGCTGCCACCCTTCCGGGCCAGGCGTTCTCCTCGCCCTGCCGCGGGCCTGCAGGGGCCCTCACGGATCGATCTGGCTCGGAAAGTGGCGCAGGAGGACGGGGCCTGGGGTCGTCGCCGTCGTCGTCGTCGTCGTCGTCGTCGTCGCCGTCGTCGTCGTCGTCGTCGTCGTCGTCGTCGTCGTCGTCGTCGTCGTCGCCATGTCTTGCCGTGTAACACTCTTTCGCGACGTCGGATCTCAGTGGATGTTGCTCGTGCGAGATGCTGGGCGGGGGGAGGGGTTCGACCCCGACGTCGCGGGTGCCCAGCCGCTCCCGCCGCCAGGGCTGCGCCAGGGAAACCGGCCGCACGCCACTGATTCGCCAATGTCCCCCCCGCCCCCCTGCTACCTACTCAGATGACCGCTGAGGTTGCTAAGGGGATAGGAGGCTTAGAAGCGAATGCGAATGTGGCGTATATCGATCCGAACCTAGTTTATAAGTGGGGTTACAGGTGCCCCAAGTGGTTCAGGAGGTTTAGCGATCGCTCTGCCTATCTAGCGGAGTTATCGAATGGCCCTTGGTCCATCCCTCCACCGTGCCTGGTCTGTAGGTATGAAGCCTATTGGATGTTCGTTGGGATCTCGTGGGAGGCTTCTCGGGGGCCTCTTGGAGGCAGTTTTAAAGCCTGTTGGGGGCCGTTTTGGTGCCTCTTGGTGCCTCTTTTGGGCCTTTTGGTGGCCTCTTGAGGTCTCTTGGGCGCCTCTTCGGGGCCTCTTGGGGCCTCGTGGGGCCTCTTGGGCGCCTCTTGGAGCCTCCCGGGGGCCTATTGGGCTTCTTTTGGGGCCGTCTTGGGGCCTTCTTGGGCCGTTTTGGGCGCTCTTGGGCCGTCCTGGGGCGCTCTTAAGCCGTATTGGGGTGGTCTCTGAGTCTTCTTGGGCCGTATTGGGGTGGTCTTGGCGGCCTCTTGGACCATCTTGAGGTGGTCCTGGCGAGAACGCCAAAATCACCAAACGACTTACGAACAATGTTTGAGTGTCGCCTCTTGGGGCCCTCTTGGGAAGCCTCTTGGAGGCCTCTCGGGGCGCCTTGGAGTCCTCTTGGTCAATCTTGGGGCCCTCTTGGACCGCCTTGAGGGTCCCGTGTGGCCCTCCGTGCCCGTCTTGGGGCCCTCGTGGGCCCGAACACTTCACGCGGCAGGCCGCTGCGGAGCCCAGGGGGCACAGGGAAAGTCCCGCCGAATTTGAGAATTTGGGGTCCGGATCCTTCATATCGGGGGTGGACAGAACCCCCAACAGTGACACGTCGATTAGTGAATTGTCCGTTTTCGGTTTTCGAGAGGGCGTCGCGGCCGTTATTTTCCAGGCTTGCGCCCGCCAGGTTTGGGCCTCAGGTCGTTTTCACTAAGCCACGTTTTACTAAAGGGAGGTCTGTCCGTCCCCGATCATAGACTTCTCGGCATTGCCTAAAGGATATGGCAAGGGACCTGAGGACACGCCCACCCCGTGCCAAGCGGCACGGTGGCGGATCCCACCCCTCTAAGCCACTTAGGACACCTGTCTACCACTGATGAGCTAGGGCATGCCAGGTTTAACCCAACTCGGTATCCACTTCTACGCCCCCTGATCCCATTAGCAGCACCAGCGGTCACCCCAGCAGGTCCCCGACATCGTGTGTATGTTTGTTGTTCCACAGCGTGGGCACCTGGAGTTCTCGACCCCTTCCCTTGGACGGGAATCTCTTATCCCGCGCGGGCTGTGGCCGAAAGTTCTTAAACATGCACAGCAACGTCGTTTGTCCACAGTCCGCCGCGGGGATTTATCCATAACCACCGTTTGGGGGATCCATCTTCGAGAACGTCGGCAGGTGGGGGATATGGATACCCGCATGCCCCAAATAATAAATCATCCCCCCTGTTTCACATCTTGCCATGAACGCTTTCCGAGCAGCAACAAGACGTTCCAAGTGGACGGCTGACAATGTTCCGTAGACCAACGAGGCATCTGCAGCCCACCCATAAATTCGGTTGGGTCAGATCTGCCCCACCTCAAGATGCATTCCTAAACCTGCACCTGTTCTCGACCCATTGCCCATGACTGGTTCTTTATCCTGGGCCGTATTTTGTACGTACCCGAGGCCCGCGGTAGGGGTCCCCAGAGGCCGAAAATAGCGGAAAACCTCCCATCTTCCGGAGTGTTCCACAAGGAGGGTTTTGGGGGAGGGGGGTTCCAGAGAGCCCCCCAGGGGCCGCGGAACCTCGTCAAGACAGGAAGCGCGAAGCCCTTGGGGACCCCTCCTGGAAAACCCCCTCCCCCCAAACCCCCCTTTTGGAACCCTCCGGGTCTTGATCCACGACTCGAGGAGGTCAACGCGGGTCTTGACGCGGCCTGCCGGTGGACCTGCAGGTCTGAGTCGAGAGGCGGCCGGTGTCGCCCGGCGCCCCGGCCGCCTGCTCTTTCTTCTTCGCCGCCTCCGCGGGCCTTCCTCTGTGGCGGCGCGCAGAGGGGGAGGAGGAGGAGGAGGAGGAGGAGGAGGAGGAGGAGGAGGAGGAGGAGGAGGAGGAGGAGGAGGAGGAGGAGGAGGAGGAGGAGGAGGAGGAGGAGGAGGAGGAGGAGGAGGAGGAGGAGGAGGAGGAGGAGGGGAGGAGGAGGGAGGAGGAGGAGGAGGATGAGGAGGAGGAGGAGGAGGAGGAGCAGAGGAGGAGGAGGGGAGGAGGAGGAGGAGGAGGAGGAGGAGGAGAGGAGGAGGAGGAGGAGGAGGAGGAGGAGGAGGAGGGGGAGGAGGAGGAGGAGGAGGGGAGGAGGAGGAGAGGAGGAGAGGAGGGAGGAGGAGCGGCTGTATCCCCTCGGCAACCGCCGCGGCCACTTCCGCGCCCCGAGAGGCGCGAGGCGCCCCGCCGCGCCCGAGGGACGCACCGCCGGCGGCCTCCGCCGTGGGCGCCGCCGGCGCCGCCGGCGCGGAGCCCGGCCAGCGAGGCGCCCCGCCACCGCGCGCCCGGCGGCCGCCGCCGTCGCCCGAGGCGCCCGCGAAGGCCCAGGGGCAACGACGGGGGGGCGGAGGCTCGAAGGCTCGGAGTCTCATAGAAGGCTCGGGGTCCGAGGTTGCGAGGCTCGGAGGCTCGAAGGGGCTCGAAGAGGCGAGGGCTCGAGCTTCGAGGCTCGAGGGTCGAGGTTCTTGGAGCTCGAGGTTCGAGGCTCGAGGGCTCGCAGGCTCGAAGGCTCGAAGGTTAGGAATTCCAAGGTCCGCTCGAAGGCTCACGGGTTTGAAGGTCGAGGCTCGAAGGTCGAGATTTTCAAGCTCGGAAATCGAGGTGCGAAGTTCGAGGTCCGAAGGCTCGAATCGTCGTAGGCTCGAAGGCTCGAAGTTCGGGGCTCGAGGGTCGAGCTTTTCGAGCTCG